AAAAAAAAAAAAAAAAAAAAAAAAAAAAAAAGAATTCACCTGGGTTCCTTCAACTCTTTTTTTCTCTCCAACAGCCCTGAACGTCGTGCTTATGGAAGAAATAATTGTTTTTGTTGCCCTGGGATATTGTCAGCAGCGTAACTTCATTTCTCTTGTGTCTTTGTCTCTCCAGAGATGAGTAGGCATTTCTCCATATGGTCTTCTCCATGTGAACGTTTATCCCAGCTGCAGTTTTTGTGCTATTCTTGTTTTATGTTTTTCCCGGTGAAATAATGGGCTATTATTGTTTGAATTACTCTGGGCTCTTTCTGTGACTATTTATTTGGAGCTGGAAAAGAGTCGTTTTCTACCTGTGACCTACATGTCTGCTAATTTGTATGTCCTAAGTTGTCCTTTAGCCAAAAAATTGAATTTTTTTCTCCATTTATATCGTCTTGTCTCCTAATATATTCATGTAGAATGATGGGAGTAGTTTCTGTCATAGAGGAAGCATGAAAACTTAATTTTTTTTTCCTTTAGTAATTTCTTTTACCCTGTGGTGTTTTGAAAGCACTATAATCTGAAACTAAGTTATGGTCAGAATCGAACAGAATCACTATTTCTGGGGTCTGTTCTATCTCTGCATTAAACCTTTGCTCTGGGAACAGAGAGTTCTGTTCATGGCATCCTAGGAAATACCATAAAGGAAATGGGCTCCCAGGGGAGGTTTGTTTAATCATTGAGATGGCACCAGCAACAATGCTGTGTTCCTCTTCCTCATGCTCTAAGATGAATTTGGCAGTGTCAGGAATGACGTGTTTTCAATATAACTGTGGGAATGTGTTTGTACATTTGAGATCCTTTAAAGAAAATTCATATCGTGTCTTCTGCCTATGTATTTCAAAATTCATCAGAGACGCCTGGTAACGAGGTGTATTGCTTTTATTTGTCACTGGAGAAATGAAGCTCTAGAAAGGGGTAGTAATTTTTTTCTGAGTGCAAGACCTAATTAGTAGTAGACCCGATAGCAAAATCATAGGCCTCTGATTCCTTGTTTATTATTTCAAAAGCTAAATTAGGCAGGGAAGTAGATTTAGAATATTGATTTAAATACATTTTTATCTCCTGGCCTCTTTTCACGCTATTGGTAACTTTGGGACAGTTGATCGTACAACTTTAATTATTCTTAAGCAGTTTTCTTAGAGGTAGCAGAGGAAGGAAAAAATTTTTTAAACTCTGGGAGTTTCTTTTACCCGAACATCCCAGCCTGACTGATGATTTTATTCCTTTTCCCGGGACTTTACTGGTGCTTCTAATGAGGAAGGAGAGGACTTTACAGAACGCTTTGCCATCTCCCTCGTCTCTGAGAGCTTTGCAGCGGGATCCAGGGACATCTGAGCACCAGATGCTTTTCTTGGCCATTGCCACTGTTTTGTGGGGAATGGATAGGCTTAGTGGGATATTCCTCATTGTTCTCACTTTGAGAAACAATGACCTTGGAGAGGGCTGAAGGGTCAGATGTGAGAGGGGAAGGGGACTGTGTGTAGACTTAGGAAGGAAGATCGTGACATATGGTCACATTTTTTATTTTTGAAGTGATAGTTATGCTGGTGGAATATATTGTGTTTAATTCTGAAGTTTTGGCATAAACAGAGGAATGCTATTTTAGCACTGCCCTCTCTGCCAGTAAGTCTCTCCTTTCATTTTAGACATCTTGAAATCGGGGTCCTAGACCTGGCAGGTAAGGAGTCTGTATGAACTAAGAGAGTCCGGGTTGCCAGATCTTCTAACGTTTTAAAAGAAGCTGGATGTCCAGATTTTTATGTGAAATGTTCCAACTTTTAAATGTTAGCAACTAAGTTCAAATTAAAAAAAAAAAAAAAATTAACAACAACAACAGAAAATGAGCCAAACCCTGAAAGTAGTAGTCAGCCAAGCCAATAGAAAGAGGGCATGAAGCCAGAGCACTTCCGCTGCAGGTGCCTGCTGACGCCATCTTGGAGAAATCAGTCATTAACCTCTGCTTCAAGTGAGGAGCTATATTCTGTGCTTACTATGAGCAGAGGTAACAGGGCCATTAAATCTGGCATAGCTGTCATGACATAACATTAATAGAAGGAGTATTGGATGGGGAGACACAGGAGCTAATCCTGGCCCAACCATTTCATTCTGGGCCCAAGTTTCCGTCTTTGTGAAAGGGTCATTTGGAATCGCACTCAGTTAGTCCATTCCATTACTACAGAGTGCACGATGATCTGTCAGGTATGGGAAATAGACTGTTAAGATTCTATTGTGCTAAGGAATCTCATGTCATAGCTTTTACCAGGCGTGAGTTCTTTGGGTTTTTCCACGTCACCACTTGCCTCTTAGAAGTAGCTGTGTTTTCCTTTGTTCACCGCATGTTGGTCCTTCCTCTTGTGTTATAGATTCGGTGGAAATATATGATAGTGGACGAAGGCCACCGAATGAAGAATCACCACTGCAAGCTGACTCAGGTCCTGAACACTCACTACGTGGCCCCCAGAAGGATCCTCTTGACCGGGACCCCCCTGCAAAATAAACTCCCGGAACTCTGGGCGCTCCTCAACTTCCTCCTTCCCACAATTTTTAAGAGCTGCAGCACATTTGAGCAGTGGTTTAATGCTCCATTTGCCATGACTGGAGAAAGGGTACTGGCCTAACTTTTGTTTTTCCCACTGCATGACAGTGAAATGAAATGAAAAGACCTAAAGCTGAGAACACTAGAGCCACAGAAAACCCATAGGGTGGTTTACAGTGTTATAAAGTATCAGGAAGCCAATCAGTGGATGTATATGTTCTCACTCCAGGGATATTTTTCCATCCAGAGAAGATGGATCTGATAATGGATGTAAGATCTAGGATCTAGGGTGTCCTAATCCCATTGTCTTTTGCCAGTGTGTTAACCAGGCCAACAGAGGGTGTTCCTGGCTGGTGGAATGCTTAACTGCTACAGGCCGCAAGGAGGATAAATGCAGAGATATTTGTTCAATCTATTTAACCACAACTCAACCAACCGAATATAAACCTTAAAAAGAAATATTTCCTTGTTATAAACTTGGGCTTCCCTTTAAACCATTTCCACATTAAGAGTTTGTATGTAAAACCGAACTGGTTTATACTAATTTTCTTTGCTCATCGTTTTCAGGTTTTAGTGTAAGCCTCAGTCTTGTGTGTATATAAATACTCCTCAAACCCTGGAGTAGCCATTTTCAAATTTCTTATCATCATTCCTTCCGCTATAGAAACGAAAAGCCACTTAACGTGCTTTAGGGAAATTTATGTTGGAACTATTTGGCCCTTTAATTTTGAGATGTCACAGGTACATTAGCCTTTTGTTAGGAATTCACTGGCTTGCCCATTTGGAGAAGGTAACGTCAATCAGCTCTGCCCCCTAGAGGTGAATAGAGGAAGGTGAAAGAGAAAGCGAAGAATTTATATATAAACAGAACTGAACTTGACAAGATCAGAGCAGAGCGAAGGAGGATGCAGGTAGAGGGGCTTAGAAAGCCACCGACGTAATCTGGATCCACTCTTGTTCTTTTCAGGTTCAGGCCCTCTTCCCTTGGTATGTTTCTGCATCTGAGACAATCAAAGTTAAGAGCCTAACTTAATGCTTCAGTTTGAAGGAAGAACACATTAACTATTGCCCTTTTACTCGTGTTCTACCTCAGCCTTTAGTCAGCCTTTACTGCAATCATATCCCATAAAATTCTGAGCCGTTAACACTCCTGAACTAAAACTGATGGCTCTGGGCCGTTTTCTACAAAACTCAGCATTCAGACCAAGACACCCATTTAGAGGCTGTTCTGTTATTACCACCTGGTAGGAAGTTGGGAACAGCATTCTGAGGTGTGCATGATGGGTATAAACCTAGCCTTAATGTACATAAAATTTCAATCATATATTGAAACCAATAATAAATGTAAGATGAAGAGTCATTGCATGAAAGATCTTTTTTTTTTAAAAAAAGCAAAAGATCAAATTCATCTAAGGTTCTCTTACAGGTGGACTTAAATGAAGAAGAAACTATATTGATCATCAGGCGTCTGCATAAGGTGTTGAGACCATTTTTACTGAGGAGACTGAAGAAAGAAGTTGAATCCCAGCTTCCAGAAAAAGTATGTTGCAAATTCAAAAGTTGTGGTTTCTTCCCCTGCCAATGCATTTGGAGTACCTGCCCCTGAAATTGTGTTTCGGAAACAGCAGGCATGTATTTTAGTTCCAGGTAACTGGGAAATATCTTAAAGGATTTTTTTTTGTTAGATGGAAGCTAGGGGGTTTAATGTAGAGAGAGAAGGGAAATTTTAGCATTTCATCTTGGTTTCCAAAAGTTTGGGGGCACATTTTAAAAAATAACCAAATTCATTATGTCTCATTACATTTTAGCTTTAACTTGCATTCACTTAACATTACATGAATTAACATTCTGTTTTAACTTTAGATTTTTACTAACCTCGTTGAGTTCACTCTTGTGGGCGCCGTAGAAATGTTCTGCTTTGAGCCAAATAAGCCTTTGAGTTTGGGGCTTGTATCATTATCAAGGGACGTGGTAAACATTTGCCAGGTTTCCCAGTAATGTGTTTAATATTGGATGCTTGGGATGTCACGGTTCTGATAGTAAGTGAAAAATAGGGTTCCTGCAAATTACAGACGCATCATCTAATTTAAGTTCCTGTGAACATTTTAGGAAATATTTTTCAGATTACTTTTTGGACACTGATTTTTCAGTGCTTTAGAATGTCTTTTGAGCCCTTAGCTCCACATTTTTAGGTTGGATTTGGGTATTGGTTTAATATGGTTTTGATCATATTTTGGAACCGCACACACTGGAGTTCTACGTTTCATTCTCTTAAAGATAGATTGTTTGGCATTGTGCACTGTTTGTTGCATGAGATAGTTTGATGTGAGTTTTCTCTTTAGGGGAGCCAGCTGTGAAATGTGTGTTTTGCATCATTGTGTTTTTCTGTGTAATGACTCTATTTTTTGAACAGATTGGTTCGTCCTGCCCAGTTTTAAGTGGGATTGGCAAGATAGTATACAAAGTTGATCACTTTGCTAAGAGAGAATTTTGATCCCTAAGCCCCTATTCATTAGCAGTTGGAAAAAAATTAAATATTAACACGGTTCTTACACCATGCTTATCCCAGCAAAAACCTAAATACCTGAGTATTTTATTTTGCTAGTGAATGCATCTTGGGGATTGAATGCCGTTGATATTTCTTTGACTTCGTGTGGTCTTGGCATCTTTGGGTAACCCCCTTTCTATTCAGTATGGACTTTAGTTACAGAATAAGCTGAGGAATGGGTACAGTGGTCATGTGGCTGCCTTGAATGTTACTGAGATCCTGCAAGTTATAGAGACGGAATGTTAAAGATTTTAATTTGTCCCATACTTCCTTTTGTTTCTTTAGAAGAGCTATAAAATAAAAGGCAATTAACTGAAGTTCTTCATTTATTCATTCCATAAAACTTCTTAATGTTGTTACTCATTACTCTGTATTAGCCAGTCCTGAATGGCTAATATAGATAGATATTTTAAAAACATATTACAAGTTGAAAGTATGCCCTGTTTTAAGAAAATCCGTTGTATTAAAATCCAGACTTTTGGGCTTCCCTGGTGGCGCAGTGATTGATAGTCCGCTTGCCGATGCAGGGGACACGGGTTCGTGCCCCGGTCCGGGAGGATCCCACATGCCGCGGAGCAGCTGGGCCTGTGAGCCATGGCCGCTGAGCCTGCGCGTCCGGAGCCTGTGCTCCGCAACGGGAGAGGCCACAACAGTGAGAGGCCCGAGTACCGAAAAAAAAAAAAAAAAAAAAAAAAATCCAAACTTTTGCAGCATAAGGATTATGGGGTGATTGGTTATATCACAAAGGGATTCTTTGCTTTACTAAAATATTTATTTCACAGCTCTTTTCACAAGAAAACTTCCTGAGTATTGATAAATTTAAAAAATCTAGGATTAGATTTTCAAGAGCATGTTTCTGATATAAAGTACACATGTACTGTTTAATATCCAGATTTTTATATTGGAGGTATGTTAAACACCCTGTGTGTGATATACAGGCATACCTCATTTTATTGCACTTTGCTTCATTGCCCTTCATAGATAACATGTTTTTTTTCCCCCAAATTGAAGGTTTGTGGCAACGCTGCGTTGAGCAAGTCTGTCAGCACCATTTTTCGGCATATGCTAATTTCATGTCTCTGTGTCACGTTTTGGTAATTCTCGCAATATTTCAAGCCTTTTCATTACTGTTTTATGTGTTACGGTGATCTGTGATCAGTGATCTTTGATGTACCATTGCAAAAAGATTATGACTCACTGAAGGCTCAGATGATAGTTAGCATTTTTTAGCAATAAAGTATTTTTTGATTAAGGTATGTCCAATATTTTTAGACAGTGCTATTGCACACTTAATAGACTATAGTATGGTGTAAACATAACTTATATGTGCTAGGAAACCAAAAAATTCTTGTGACTTGCTTTATTACCATATTCCCTTTCTTTTGTTGGTCTGGAACTGAACCCACAGTGTCTCCAAGGTATGACTGAATTATTTGTGGATAAGCTACCTTTACCTGGAGGCAACTTGGTGGAGTGGAAGTCATGGGCTCTGCCCGTCAGAGTGGACCTCGGTCCCCACTGCATTCTCCGTCTCATACTAGCTATGTGAGCTTGGGCAAGTCTCTTAACCCAGTGGGTGTCAGTGTTCTCACCAGTGAACTGGAAAATAGACAATACCTGCTTCACAGAAGAGGATTGAATGGATGCAGTACTCATAACACTATGCCTGGCACGTGGTAAGGGCTCAACTGGTGACAGCTGCTACCACCAGAGTCCTTACTTTCTGCTCACACTGCTGTTTCTATTGCTGACTTCCGGTTCTGCTTCCCTATTCACTTCAAGTTCTTTCTCACTGTTCTCTGGTCCTGGCACTTTCTGTGTTCCTGCCCCATCTCTGTCCCCATAACCTCTTCATGGCGAATAGGGGAACTAATGACTTGGCATGTGTATGTAGCCGTTATTGATGTGGTTTGGCCAGTTTTCACTCTTTGCTCTTTCTACCTTGTTAGGATTTTTTTAATCTGGGGAAAATTGGCCATTTAAGTGTCATCCTTGGGGGTAAGGAACTTTCTTCTGCCAGCATCTGCTTGTAGCCACAAACAACATATATGTCTTTCTCAGGCTGTATAAGGAATCTAGAAAGGAATTGTGGCCGATGGCAGGAAAAGGCTAAATATTTTATAGAAGTGATGCTCAAATGTTTTCATGACAAAGAATCAGGGAAGTGGATTTCCATTTTATTTTTTAACTTACATATAATAAAATTCACTCTTTTTGGTGTATAGTTCGGAGTTTTGACAAATACATAGCTACGTTAACTCTACCCGCAATCAAAATACAGAACAATTCTGTCTCCCAGTCCCCCCAACCAAAAGTTTCCTGGTGCTCTCACTTTTTAGTCAAACTCTCCCTCTACCCTTAGCCTCATGCAACCGTTAATTTGTTCTCCATCCCTGTAGTTTTGCCTGTTCCAGAATGTTGTATGAAAGGAATCAGACAATGTGTCTCATCAGACCTTTTGCATCTGGTTTTTCATTTAGTGTAACGAATTTGAGATACATCCAAGGTGTTGGATGTATCATTAATTTGTTCATTTTTATTGTTGAATAATATTCTATTACATTGATGCACCAGAGTTTGTTTATCCATTTAACTGAAGGAAATTTGGGTTGTTTCTAGTTTTTGATGGTTATGCATAAGTCTACTATGACCATTTGTATATAGGTTTTTGTGTGAACATAGGTTTTCATTTCATTTTAGTAAATATCTAGGAGTGGGCTTGCTTGGTCATATGGTAAATGTGCACATAACTTTATAAGAAACTTCCGAATGGTTTTCTAAGGAGTCTGAACCATTTTGTAGTCCCGCCAGCAATGTATGAGCATTCCAGTTCCTCCACATTCTCCTCAATACTTGATATTTTCAGTTTTTAACACTGTTTGCCGTTTCAATAATTGTGTGCTGATATCTTGTGACTCGTCTTCATGTGTTTATTTGGCATTCATGTGTCTTCTTTGATGAAGTGGTGCTTAAATCTTTTGCCTATTTTTTCCCCAATTATTTCTTTTCTTACTGTTGAGTTTTCAGATAGAAAAACTCTTAAAAATACAAAGTACCAGCCCTAGCCCCGGTAATTCTGTTCAGTATAGTGGGAGTGACCTCAGGAGTCTGTATTTCCTCAGATGAAACCAAAGCAGGCATAGAAGGGCCACAGTTTGATAAATGCAGTTCTACTTCATAGAAAAATTAGTTTTAATGATTGAGTATTTAATAAAAATTAGTTTTAATCAATGAGTATTTAATGACTTAATGCGTCTAATGAAACACCTAATGAGCAAGAGAATATACGGTCTCTAGGCCCCTCCCAACACCACCACCAAGCTGCTGGCATAAGATCCATTCCTTATACTTACGGAAGAAGGGCAATTCATGGAAAAGGGATGACATAAAACCTAACTTAAGCTAAAGAAAAATTGATTTTTCGATTTAGCTCCCATTTGAGGTTGTCTGTGCTGACTTTCCCCTTTGTATAATCAAGAACCAACTGTACTTGCCATTGGCTATGTGTGTGTGTGTGTGTGTGTGTGTGTGTGTGTGTGTGTCTAAATATGCTAAAATATGTATTACAATGTCTGAGATTAACTAGAGGTTGACCTACCTAAAATCGACCCTGATTTTGATATAATCTGTATAAAACCACAAAAAGCATTGTTTAGATGGGCAGCTTTTATATTCATTATATAAAAATTTAGAATGCTTGATGTAATTAATCATCACTTTGTTCCTCTCTTGCCATAGATTCTAGAACCTGGGACTTTCATAAATTTAATCTTGGAAATCTCAATTCACAAAGTGGTAATATATCACACACAGTAGTCGGGATTTATTGATCTAATAATACCTCCTTTTGGAAGGGAAATTATAAGTGAGGAATAGTGTTTAGGGAGAAACTATGAATAAAGGTTGAAAACTTTTACAGGGTTATATGGGAAGAGAGTCTGGGCCAATATAACCACCCAGTTTAGCTCTCTGAAGGGACCAATTTGATCATTACTAACATACGGAGTCTTAGGAGATAACTGTCATATCCATGAGGCTGACACCCCAATTTTACATATAATTTGAAAATAGTAGTCCCAGTGGCTCTCATAAGCCTAACTTGTTGGGAGAATCATCCCTGTTAAAGAGTCATAGATTTTATTTCCTTCAACACCAGCCTATTTTGAGGAACTTTCAAATTCATGCTCTAATCAGGGACCATCATGTTTTTTGGAGGTGACCCAGACCCAACACAGTTTGAGATGGCGTGATGATTACAAAGACTTTCCTCGCCTTGCCCCTGTCAGTCTGCATGTCTACTTTAGAATTCTTCAGTCTGCCCTTTTCTCAATGCATAGCTCTGATGGCTTGCTCTGTGCGCTGCACTGCCCTTGGGCGGGGCTGGAAGGTGCAGGAGCTGTACCAGAAATTGGAGGCATGGTGTGAGATGTCACTGAACAATGGCATGACATCAGGAGGAAGGATCCAGGCATTCAAGTGCTTAGGAGAGGGGTCCCCAGAGCACACAAAGGGGTGTGTGTGTGAGTATGTGGGGAGGTGCTTACTAGTAATCCATTGAGGTGTGGGAAGATTTTAGAGCTTCCATTTATATTACTTTTTCTCTTAAAAATAAAAAAATATAAGCTTTATTAATTTAACATACAGATGGGCACTGGTACCCATGTGGTATGTATGCACATCGGAAAGTCAAGATACCTTGCTTAGACTGTATCGGTTATCCTGGGCGGGTATGTGACGGGAAGCACCTCCATCTGGGGCATCAGATATCCGCTCACCGTCACAGCCTGGTTCCTGCGCTTTCTGCCTACTGTGAGCATTGCGGGTTTCCCCGTATCCAGATAAAAGGATTTTAGGATGATCTCATTTTAACTAAACTGACACCCCTGGCCCTCAGAATGAATGAAGGGCTTTAAAAGATTCTGCAAAGGGTTGCAGGTTGAAAACAAGATGGATGATGTAAGCACAGATGGACGGTAGGAAAAGGGCAGTCCTGCCACCTCTCCTGTTCCTAGTGTGGGTTTTCACCAGCCCCATTATAACCCCAAAAATTAGATGTCACCAAACTGGCCTCTTGAAATGTAGATATAAATCAACTGCCTTTAACATTGACCCCTGTCCTAAAGGTAACTTGTGTTTTGAGACATTAATGTCCGCGTGTGCATATAATTCATAGTTAAATATATGGGCATGTATTGGGAAGAGGCGCTTTAGCGTGTCCTCCTGGTAAGGAACTGCCATCAAAAAAGTTTAATGACCACTTCTTTGTGGGAAGTGAAAAGGAAGATTGACTTTGACTGTTAGATATGATTGGGGAAGATCTTCCAAAGAGCCCTCGGGGAGAGTAAAATTTGGAAAGGAAGCCCTAAGACTAAAGACCCTCACCCCAGGCCTGGGGGAAAGTACAAAGACAAACAAAATAGCTTGGACTTGTTTGGGAGGTTACAGGGAGCTAACGTAAAATATAGTCGTGAAACTTAGGATGGTGATTTTGATGATGTGTATCAAACTAGCTTCTGGTACCCCCTAATGGTGCTTGGGACGAGGGTTGGGGGGAACATCGCCTTCCTACAGCAGCCATCAGGTTCTAGGGTTGAGCTCGCTTCTCTGCTGACTTGGCCCCTCTGGGGGTGTTTGACATCCCTATCTGCATGGCATCATCGTGCATGCCTCCTGCTTCCCAAACTCCCTCCCCTCCAGCTCTTAGCAGCAGCTAACTGATGGGAAGGAGGTTGAGGGTCCAGTCCCTCATTCTGGTTCTTCTGTCTCCTAACGCACTCACAAGCAAGCCTCAGCCCTCCTTTCCACATTCAGGAAAGTGTGCACAAGGTGGCTGGCAGGGAGGCCCAGGTGAAGGTGAACCATCAGGGCTGAACTGGGAAACCTAAAAGTCTCCATGGTCATCCTTAGTATAGAGCTTAAGGAAGTCAAGTCTGGTTCGATCCTAACTGCACCATTAAATAGCTGCATCGTTTCAACCCAGTCACTTAACCTTTCTGATGCTCAGGTTCCTTGTCTATAAAACTGGAACACCACTAAATGTAACTCTCCTACAGCTCTTGTGTAGTGAAATGGGAGAAGGCACATAAAGCATTTTTGCACGGGGCCTGGTCCATAGAAAGAACTCAATAATACTAGCCCTTGGTGTCATTTTTATCATTATGCTTGTTAAAGTCTGAAGTTGTTTAACATTTTTCTACACCGTGATCAAGTTTCGTGGAGAGTTAACAGCTCTTGAAAAAGTCAAAGTACTTTAAAAACATGCAGCATCAAGTCTGTGGAGCACAAAGCCTGTACTAACAGTGCATCCTTATTTATTAAGCTTGGAGATGTTTTTTCCACCCTGGCCAAGAAAGTCATTAAAAACTAAAACAAGTTTATGGCAGGTCACTTGCTTTTCTTAACTTTTCTGCAGAAGAATCCACCTTTCTCTAATCTGATTTGGTGCATCAAAATGAGTAGCAAAAGGCTATATTAATTGCGGTTCTGGCTGGCCTGACAGGTTCCTTCTAAAGCAACAATCGAATGAATATTCAACTTCTCTTCATCTGTGACCTCCTCGGCCTGGCCCTCAGAGCTGAAAATAACCTGATCATTTTTAATCAGTTTGTTAAACATTAGGCAGCTTGCTGATTTGCTTTTAATCACATTCTGCAGATTTCTAGGCATTAATCTGATGTTTATTATGAAAATTTCACATTTGTATTCTGGGGATTTTTTTTAATAAAGAAAAACAATAATAGGAAATAATCAAGGCAGATTGTGTGCATTAGGAGCGTGCGAGAAGTATTGCGGGTGTGTATGAAACCACCAGCACATGAATTCCCTTTCACTGTTTTAAATTGGATTTTTCTGTTAATTCAAAATGGAGGCACATGCGGCCTTGCCTCTAAAGAATATGGTCCTAAAGTTGCATCCAATTGTGGATTAATTCCTCTCCTTTGCCTGTTATCCTCACTAGGGTAGTATCCTCTCATCCTTCAAAAGCAGAGGGTAATTACATATAGTCAACCTAGGGCTCTCATGAATCTCCTTTTCAGATCGGTATTGGGGGTAGCCACCTAGGACCATTTAAAAAGTGTTTTCCAAAGAAAATCAGAGGTTATTGGCCAAGCAATGTTTTTCCTAAAACTGTTCTGTTCATAGGAAAGGAGGTGTAGGTGGGAAGCAGAGGAAATACTGTAAAAAAAAAAGAAAAGAAAATACTCTGTGTGGAACATCTTTGAATTTGAAGTTTGCCAGCCTCTCTCTCTCTCTCTCTCTCTCGCTCTCTCTCAAATATGGAACAAGTCAAGAAATTTCCGAAACCATGACCCTAGTGTCAGTGGTCAATGACATACAGCCTTTTGAAGGTCCCTACAGTATAATGGTACCTTTAGTAGTGACGACTGTGGTCCTCTCCATCACTACCACCACCCCACCCCACCTCCTCCATGAATCCAAGAGTGGGGGAAGAGAGATACCTTTGTGGTTCCAGGAGTGCCACCAGCAGCCGTGTCTCAACAGTCTTCTTAGAACAGGCACCTTCTCTCTCCTGCTCTACTTACTGTTCTTTTCCCCCAGGTTGAATATGTGATCAAGTGTGACATGTCAGCTCTACAGAAGATTCTGTATCGCCATATGCAAGCCAAAGGGATCCTCCTCACAGACGGTTCGGAGAAAGATAAGAAGGTACGTGGCGGAAGATGTTGCAACTCAAGGTGCTGTCGTGTATCTTCTTGGGGCTGTGACCCTGGATACTCCTAGGAAACATCCCTGCTAATGCTGATTTGTCGAAGCAAATTACTGGGCTTTTTTTGGAGCTATTGTTGCTGCCTAAGAAAATCTCTTAGCCTCTTACCTGCAAACTGCATAGGAGCAGTTAGAAACGAACACCATCTTGGTGTTCGTATCACCAAAATAGTTAGCTATGCTCGTGTCAGTTCTGCACGGAATATATCTGCCTAAGGGTGTGGTGGCATTATAGAAGGTTTCGCAATCCAGTTTCATTCCCTGGGCATCTGTTCCGTGCTTCTAGGGAATAGACAGCTGTGAATCCTAGCGAATAGACAGTTATTTCTCAAAGCCATCCACTGGGCATAATTCCCTCCTTTAGGATAAGTTAGTCACAAGGAAGATGTTATATCTAATTCAGAAACAACTATGTAATAGTAACAGGAACTTTGGACCACAAGAGGTGTAGGTTACCGAGAAGACCTATGGCCCTTTGCTGTTTCTATAGAAGCCTATTTTTTTTTAAATGGGAAATACCTGATCAATTAATAACTTCTATTTTCACTGTCCTCTACTTGTTCTTAGGGGAAAGGAGGCGCTAAGACACTTATGAACACTATCATGCAGTTGAGAAAAATCTGCAATCACCCATATATGTTTCAGCACATTGAGGTAAGTCTGCGTTCTCTGTTGTGACCCTGATCCTTACTGTGCTATTCCTACTAATACTCCGCAGACAAATTTTTAATAAAAAATAAAAGAGCGTTAAAACGTGTGGAAGTTGAAACAACATGGTCTGATAGCTTGAAGAGAAGAATTAACAAACATGAATTTTCTGGTTATGGATTCTCATTGGCACCAGACACTTGAGCATCTGGAATTTTATAACCAGGAGTTTCAAGTAGTGAGAAAATGCTGTAAGCTATGGCTCATTATGTGGGTTTGGGTAGGTGCTGTGATTTGCCTTGTTATAGTAGGAGCTCCAAAATGGAAGATAATGATAAATACATCCAGCTTCCTCAGAAGGATGCTGCGAAAAATATTAAAATAATGTATTTATACCCATTGAACAGAAAGGTGTTCTCTGTAAAAGTCACTGACTTTAGTCTGTTACTTAGATTTGTATTTTTTCCTTTCTGACCTCTTTCATGACCGTGTAGATACAGGCTTTTATCCTGAGGCTCTGGTCTCTAGGAGGCTATTTTTAGGGGAGAGGACATATTCTGCCCTGTTCGCTACATGTGAATGAGTTTCCTAAGTTGACAATTTCAGCCCAGTAGGAGCCATTGACTTGAGCAGGAAGGAAAAGGAGCCACAATTGTAGCCCCCACTTTTCAGTGTTGCCGCAGACGCACATGGTCCTGGCGGCAATTATGTGCCAGGGCACTGCTTACTTTCCACTACAGATGAGAGTGAGGCATGGGGCAAGTCACTGCAGGCTCCGTGCTGGCACCAGCTTATTAACAAATAAATAAATAGAGGTTCTAGGAATTTAACTTTCAGGAGCCTATTCCTGGAGATGAGACTGAAATATTCTTGACTTTGAAGATTATTTTTTTCTTCCTTGTTTTTGGTAATCGCGCTTGTTAGGTGACAGTATATATTGCACCTCTGTCCCTGTCCTGGAGTCCTATCCCACCTGTGGTGGGAAACTAGAAAAACTCCTGACACTGTTATTGCCTCAGGGACAGGCAACCCTTCCTTTACAGAGTAAAAAGCCCTCGATATAAGTAAAATGACAACAGCAACAACAGTAAAAGGAAAGAAGGATGGATGTAAGGAAGGAAGGAAGAAAAGAAAGAAGGAAGAAAGGGAGGGAGGGAGGGAGGGGAAGGTCCCACCAACAAGCCTATTTAGACACATAGTAGGAGAATCCACTGTGTGGTAATAAGTCTATACCCCAGGTCACTTTTGACTGTGACTTGGTGTAAGTCACTCATAGCTACTTGACTTGTCATCAAATGGTAATAGATTATAGAACTGGCAGGAGGATAAACTTAAAAAAAAATAACATATGAAGTGTCTGGTAAACCAATAATGTGATAAATGGGCTGTAAGATATCCATGAGGTAGTGAGGGGTACATGTTGGGTTGGAGGAGCCACAAAAAAGATCTAATGATGAAGATGATTGGGGTCATGTCAGGTCAACCTGTCACCCACCATCTTATTTTTCCTAAAAATAATTTTAAGATATTTACTTTGTAAAAGTATAGAGGAGTTTGAGGACTTAGAAATTATGAAAATTAGGTGTCAATCTTAACTTCATTTTGGTTATCGTACCCAAATGAACCTCTGAGACACACTGGGCCGTGTCAGGAAGGGAGAGGATGTCAAGCTTCTGTCTGGAGCACCTGGGGAGGGGAGGCGGGTGGATCAAAGAAGCTAGGTCTAAGTAACATGTCCTCCTTTGCCTGCACATTGACATTTTAAGTAGCAGTCGGTAGAAAGACAGACTTTGATTTGCAATTCTTTTAATGTAAAAAACTTTCAGGAGCACATTCCTGGCAATGAGACCCACAGTTATTTGCAAAGGTATCACAGTTGTGAACCAGAGATGGTGTGTGCATTTTGCTTTTGTCTTCGTTTTGTTTGCTTACACACCCTTTGTTCATACTACGTCATACTAGAAACCTGGTCTCTGGATTGGGCTCACTGCCTCCCTGGGGATCTTCAAACCAGAGAAATGAAAGCAGTGTTTTTAAAATGCTGCTGATACCTGACCTTATCGCCATTTATCAACACATACCATCTGAGAGACGGGTGAGACCTAAATCTCTAGTCAGGAATGGCACCTGTATAGACGAAAGGGTAGGCTTGGAGTTAGGGTAGGGTTTTTAGCTGAGGCCCATTGACGTTAATTCGGCCGGCAGGGCAGCACCCGGAGGGGCTGGGCCTGCCATAAATGATGAGCATGTTTGGAGCAAAGCCCAAAGGGAGGATCTGGTCCCCTTGGAGGAAAGCTTCAGTGATCTGGGGAGGAAGGGGAGCAGAGAAGGGAGACAGCTGGTGGTTAATGTGAAGGTGTGGCGTGCCCTCCTCTCCACAGACGGTCTCCCTTCCCATAAGGAAGGAATGCGAAAGCCACATGGAGAACAGCAACTTATTTCTTCCACGGGATCAGTGAGGAGGGAATCCTGTAATTAAGTTATGTGTTTCAGAAGTGGAAGCCGGTCACCTGAGGGGTGGTGTACATTTAGAGCCTTATTTATAATACAGAAAAGCACAGTATTGGAGGGATGTTAGGATTCCACCAAACTAAGATTTACAGTATGTAGTACATAAATGATCATTACTTTTACTGTTAACTATTTCCGCAGTGTATTTACGTGTATCTGTTAATCTTGATTTGCTTGTATGAAGCTCTTCCTCTAGTCTAGACTCTAAGCTCCTTGGGGAAGGTACTTCGTTTTTTTCTGGATTCCCAGCACCTTCCTGCCACAGCCCTGGGCCACTCAACACTTAATCACTGTTTGATGAGTGAACTAGCCCTGCCATCTCAGTATGAGAGTCTAGAGACTTGCAGACTTACGGCATACGTTTCTGGCAGAACTATAGTCTGAATTCAAAGACTTTGAGTTTCTGGTTCGTTGTATAACGAGTGTTTTCTTACTTATTCATTATTTTATTGAACTGTGCTCTAGAAATAGGTAGGGTGACCTCACTAATAGAATAATCATTAAGTTAATAATTACAGATCCGTTTTTGAGAATCATTTTCTTCTCTCTCTTTTAAAGGAATCCTTTGCTGAACACCTGGGCTATTCAAATGGGGTCATCAATGGGTAAATCTTAATTTTTTTTTCCTTCCAAAACGTAGTTTGTTGGTCCTCCCTAACTTTTCTCTCTGAAGTGTTTCCTATCACACAAATACCTACTGCCAGCCCCCTCAGCCCTCCTCTCTCCTCAGCAGAGGGTACAGAAGTTGTTAACCAAAATGATATCAGCATTCCCTTTTACTTTACTGGCATAAATTACTACCTTCCTTGAGCAAGTGGCTATTCAAAGGACATAGATCTCCTTTAATAGACTTAACAGTGTCCTAGTGTTCTAAAAACGTTGTCAGAGCTTCAAAGGGTTCTTATAACCAATAGTGTAGCTTGAGCTCAAAGCGAATTTACCATAGGAAGTCTCAAGTTGATATTTACCATTAACGTGTATGAGAGGAAAATGTCTCATCTGCTGTGCATATATATACCTTGACAGTAATTTGTTAGCCTATGGTCTGTATAAGAAATAATTTTTCATTAGCAGTGGACGTTGAAGAGATGCATGCCTGCAACACAACAAAACCGAATGTTGCATTAATAGAAGGTCTCTGTTTTGCTTGTGTGGTACCAGGGAAATTTTTAATTTTAGGATAAAGGGGTCAATTCTTGGATCCCAAGGGCAGACTGTGTTGCTCTCCTTTGTCTCTCCTTTTCTCCTTTTCTCTCCGCCCTTTGTTCACTCCCGGTGCCATCAGGTTGGCCAGGGTTGCATATTGAAAACATGGCCTCAGGGGGGTGTTTGGAGGACAGTCTCAGAGTAGGGGATGGATGTTGGGAAGACTTACACTTGAAAATGTCTGTTCTGTGTGTCATTAAAATCAACTACCAACGATAGGTTTCAGTATTATAGACTAGACTGCACATGCACTGGGGAGTTTTCCCGACAACATCACCCCTGCAACTATTAAGTTTTAATAATATGACACATCCCTGTTGATCAAGAGGAGAGCGGTTTCTTGTGGAGGAGGAACCCCACTGTAACACACTAACATTCTTCTCTGTCTGACAGCACCCTATCATCGTGTTTTTTAATGTGAATTTCTATGTAAGCCAGGATTGTATCCCTTCCCCAATCCATTCGTCACTGTGTACATGGCGATCTTTTAAAAAGATGTCATATCTCGACACCCCCCTGTTTAAAACCCATTATTGGCTTTCTGTTGCACTTAAAACTAAAACTAATAGAGCCCTACAGGATCTGTCCCCCCACCCCCCGCCCTCTTCATCTCTGCTCTCATCTCCCAGCATCCCCCTCTGTCCCCCGACTTCAGCTTAAGCCACACACACCATTTTTTCCAATTGTTTAGACTCACCAGGCTCTTTTACTCCTCAGGGCCTTTGCACATACTCTTTCCGCTTCCTGGAATCTCCTCCTCTCCAATCCTAAGCCCACCTTTTTCACCTGGCTTCCTTTTGCTTATTTCAGGTTTTAGATAAACTGCTAGCTCTTTAGTGGGTCACCTTTGATGCTCTAAACCAGTGGCTGCCAAATTCTTTTCTGCAAAGGGCCAAATCTCAAATGTTTGCACCTTTGCTGGCCAAAAAGTCTCTGTTGCACCTGCTCAACTTTGCCATGGTAGCTTGAAAGCAATCCATAGGCAAACAGCAATGAGTGAGCCTGGCTGTGTTCCAATAAAACTTTATTTACAAAAACAGACAGCAGCCCAGGGGCTGATGTTTGGCCAAGCCCTGCTCTAATGTAAAGAAGATGTCACATGTTGCTATGAGCGCTCACAGCAACTTGCTGTTTTTCTTTTTAGGGCTTATCACAAGTTGTTAATTACCCATTTGGAAGGCAGGGATTCTCTTTTGCTTATACACTTGCCCAGCAGTGTGCTTGGCACATAGTAGGTACTCAGTAAGTATTTCAATGAATCTTAAGTGCCCTAAATTAGTAATTTTATGTACTTAATAAGTAGGAATTTAAGGAAATGACAACATATACATATATGCCTGTGTAGGAAAGACAGAGAGAGGGAGAGAGAGTTGAGAGAGTCAAAGTATTAGGTTTGCTTTTCTTTCTAGAAACTGTCATCATACCTAGAGTATATAATATACTTTTTATGGGTTTTCTAGAAATATATTTTATTTTTTCCATGCAATAGTCTCAGTTGCTTAGGAGTGGATACTCATTCGCTCATTCATTCATCCATCCATTCATTCTGTAGTTATTTATTGAATGTTTACTATGCACAAGGCACTATATGAAAAGCAAAGCTCTACTGGGTCCTTCAAGAAGACAGCAGTAATACTGTCTTCTTGTTTTGCATTTTTGGGTTCAGGGCTGAGCTGTATCGGGCCTCAGGAAAGTTTGAGCTGCTTGATCGTATTCTGCCAAAATTGAGAGCGACTAATCACCGCGTGCTGCTTTTCTGCCAGATGACGTCTCTCATGACCATCATGGAGGATTACTTTGCTTTTCGGAACTTCCTTTACCTGCGCCTTGATGGTAAGTGTGTAGGAAATTAGGCTCTGAAGCCACACAACCCAGAGTGCAGGGATAATGGGCACTCAGATCCAATTCCAATCTCGGCCAAAAGGAGGGGTAAAATTCTTGAAGAATTAACTAGCAGGGTGGGGTGCAGCTTCTCTAGATAGCAGTCTTCATATCCTCCAGCTTAAAATAAGCTGAAATTATTTGTGCTGCTGTTTATCCCACGTACAAACCAACACAGATGGACTTAGGATCACTTATAAGTACCACCATTAAAATAAACCAAACTAAGCTAAAATTTAAAAATTCTCCTTGCCCTTAGGCTTGTCTGTTACCTGTGCACCATATAGAATATTTTGATAAGCCTTTAGCTTTCTCTGTGAAGACATATTTTAAGGGGATAAAGGCTATGACTCCTTTCTTCAGTGACACTGTTGTAGTTCATTTAAGATTATATCTGTCGTTAAAGCTTCTCTCTTTTTCTAAATAGAACATATCTACATGCTACGTTAAGAGACAGGGCTTCACTGTTTCCTGGATTTTGCAAACTATGTAGAATGTTGGCCTGATTTTAAGAGTGAAATTTAAATAACCATGTCCTTAAAAAATTAGTCAGAAAATATGAATGGAAGAAAGTACGAATTTAGGGAGACTTCCTAAATTGCTATATGATTTGGGTGGCAGCTCTAGCATTTCAGAGGTTAAAGATATCAAAATTTTCATACTATGGCAGGAGGTAACATTTTCAAAGAGTAGTAAGTAGGGATAGGGGCTGATTTACACCCAGGCTGGTGTTGAATTCCTGCATGGTGTTAGGAACGCCAACTTTTATCCAACGCAATATTCAAGTTATTGTCAAATGGGAAATTTAAAGTTTATGTTCCATTAAAAGGTGTTGTTTTATTTTCAGTCCAACATTTTCTCCCCCTTTTGCCATGAATTAGATATAACTGGATATTTACCAACCTGGGACCTGCCATATGTTCTCTTACTTGAGTTTTTAAGTGAATTCTCTATATGGTGTACCTCTTAGGGCCTTGTTAACTTTTAAATTAATTATACCTCTGACAGACTTGATTTTTTAAAAATCTTTTTGCCTCTCCTCCTTAAAGTCACTGAAAACAGAGGAATGGTTAAGTCAATGTTAATTCTCAATTCATGACACAGTTACGTCAGCCACAGTCTGTCTTTTGGTAAATGTGCCTGTGTCTCATCTTCTGACCTGATGCGTTGGTTCCTCCCTCTCTGTGAGGGGTAAGTTCAGCCTTCCGTCAGCGTTCTTCCTTTGAAAGGCAAGCCCTCCTTCACTGCTGCTTGAGTGAGGGGGGGCGGCGGCCAGCTCTATTTTCCGTGGATGTACAGTCCCCCACAGGTGTCCTGTAGAACTGTTGTTTACTACTCTGTGGCATTTCGTTTGGAATCTCAGCTCTCTTGGGACTGTGACCTTGGAATGTTCGAGTCTGGGAAACTGGCAAGAAGTGATTTCCTTGAAACAGATCTCTCTAATGTGTTCTTACCAGCTTGAGAGAGTGTCTTTATTTTTATTTAATTTTTAAAAATGTGTTGGCTGCGTTGGTTCTCCGTTGCTGTGCGCGGGCTTGTCTAGTTGTGGCGAGCGGGGGCTTCTCTTCGTTGCGGTGCACAGGCTTCTGATTGCGGTGGCTTCTCTTGTTGCCGAGCTCGGACTGTAGGCGCCCGGGCTTCAGTAGTTGTGGCTCGTGGGATCTAGAGCGCACGCTCAGTAGTTGTGGTGCACGGGCTTAGTTGCTCCGAGGCATGTGGGATCTTCCCGGAGCAGGGCTCGACCCAGTGTCCCCTGCATTGGCAGGCGGATTCTTAACCACTGCGCCACCAGGGAAGTCCCGACAGAGTATCTTTAATATTCTGTTGGTTGCTGTCCTTACTGTTATTAATCATAATAGTCATAAAAGCTAATGTTTATGGAAGACCTACTACATGTGGGATGCCAGGCTAAGCAGTTCACGTGCATTATTAATTTAATTTTCTCAACAAACAAGCTTCTGTTATCCCCTTCTTACCAGGTACGAATATGATCCCATTTAACAGATGTGAAAAGAGAGGTTTAGAGAGATGAGTTAACGTGTCATAGGTTACACATGAAGCAAATGGTGAAATGAAGTTCTAACTTAGATGTCTCTGATTCGAAATTAGTTTAGAATCAGTTTTAGCAAATCCAGCAAGATTTATTCCATCTCTGAAAATGCAGGTTGCTTTCCTAGAGACGTTTGAAGACTGATTTTGAACTGAATTCAAAAATTGTAAGTTGGTTGATTGAAAATGACCAGGCCATTTCAAGAGAATGTGCCACTTACTGATCCTACCATCAAAGGCCTTACCGTTAGGTTGGAGGAGGCAAGTAAGCAAGTTCCATTAAGTGTTACAGATGTCATTGACAAGGCTGCATGGGCTTCTACCTGGAAGAAACAGCAGCCATTTGTTCTGGGGTTAGAGAGAATTGATGGCAAACAGTCGACATACACAAGGATAAATTGGTACACACACTGCCAGCTGTACCACCCTCCGACTACACCCCCTTAACCCAGTTGTTAAAATGACTTCAGATTTTCATTGCTGAATTTGATGTCCCAGATTTTTGACCTCAGGGGAAAAAAAATTCGATGACAGTTAAGTAGATTTTTTTTTCTGCCGAGATTATGGTTGCATGAATAGATTTAACTACGATTCCATTATAGTCTTTGTTTTCGCTGGAAATGATTTTTGAGTGAGAGCAAGTGATGAAGTTACATCCCAGAAGACAACATTTTCCAAAAGCAGCTGAAACTAAGTTACAGTGACTAATCATGAAAGCCAGGCAGTGTGTTCCTTCTGGCAAAATCTGCAGTTTTCATCACAGTTGCCCTTGTTATTAATTGTATGCTTGGTTATGTTCTGCATTAAAGCCTATAAGAACGTGGACTTGATACCACCTACAAACAGCGTTTCTTTGGCTGGGGCTAAACCCTGACACGGTAGTTTGACTCTCCTTGAGCAGTGTCCCAAAGATTGCTGATGAACAGCAGAGATCTTGGCTTGGAGAACCTTTGACTAATGGAAATGGTAACCCAGCAGATTCTGAACCTTGTAATAAGAAATGCCATAGCTTTGCATGAAAAGTGATTCAATCATATTTTTTCCTGGCTTTATAATTTGTCAAGTTCCAAGCTACGTATATGATTTAAATACACTCCAGATAATATGGTCCGTCTGTTTGCTTGGGGTGTCTAGCATAGGGCCTAAAAACTCTTTTGACCAGATAATTTTGATATCCCTTTTGTTTTTCAGTGCTTTATTTTTCATTTAGTGTTATTTCATCCCAGGTAGGCATATCCACTAATTAGTTTTATGTATATATCTTAATGCATGTAATTGTTAACTGATTATTTTTCAGTTCAGTGGATCAAAAGTGAACTTCTACCCTCTTAGTATATAGACGCACAGTTTTTGTACCCTGATGTCAGAAAATAGATACAGTTGGTCCCTTGTCCCTCAGTATCCAAGGTGGGGGCTTGGTCGCAGGAACCCCACAAATACCAGCCCCTAATATAAAACAGTGTAGTGGGACTTCCCTGGCAGTCCCGTAGTTAAGGCTCTGTCTTCCAATGCAGGGGGCGCAGGTTTGATCCCTGGTCGGGGAACTAAGATTCCACATGCCATGCAGTCTGGCCAAAAATTAAAAAAACAAACAAACAAGTAAAAAAACCAGTGTAGTATTTGCATATAATCAATCTATGCACATCCTCCCATATACTTTAAATCATCTCTAGATTACTTATTATACCTAATACAACGTAAAGGCTATGTAAATAGTTGCTGGTGCTTGGCAAATTCAAATTATGCTTTCCTGGAACTTTCTGGAATTCTTAATTTGGAATTTGGAGTACTTTTGATTCAAATTTTTTAAATTTGGAATACTTTTGATCCACTGTTGATTGAATCCCTGGATGATGCACAACCCATAGGTACAAAGGGGCGACTATACCATTATCTCTGGGGACTCCTTCTTTCCCCATTTTGGAGGTGTTTGCTTTTTTTTTTCTTTTTTTTTTTTTGGTTTCTTTGGCTTTTTCTTCACTTTAAGGCAGAGGGTAAATATGTGAACCAGTAATCTATGTGAGTAATTTTTTTAAAAAAAATCATTGCACCTGGGCAAATGATGTAGCATGATAGACCAGAAGGTGTCTTCCCTTAGCATCATGAACAGATAGTTTATCGTGATCTCAGAAAGCCAATTCTGAAAATAAGAGAAAAAAGGGCACCACGTGTTTGAAACCTCGTCTAACAAAAGACATTTCATGTTCCTTCCCCCAAATCTAAGTTCTTACAATTCATCATTGCAGGATTTGACCAGGTTGCAAAACTTGAGATCGGATTTGGAAAGTAGAATGAACTCTAAAGAGCATTGCTTCATTGAGTGGGGATTCCCAAAGCCCCTTGTTTCTAATCCCCGTTTGCTGTATTCAGGAATATTCTTTCTCCCTCCTCAGGAGGGTACGTACTATTTTTATTAATATGAAAAACAGATCTCGCCATGTTTGGGAACTTGAACCTCCACAGTAACTCGATTCCATTAGCTGGAGTCACTTAGATGTTTTAATCCTCTGAAATAAATTGCCGGTATATTTTCATCGTTAAAAAAAGAACACCATGTAGAAATAATATTTGTCCAACAGGTGGTTAGGGACTATCATGTAACACACATATATACGTCCCAACAGCCTAAGACCTTTTTCAGAACTCTGCAGCTACACTTTTCTGGTGAAATATATTCAGATGGAATATGGTAGTTTTTTTTTTCCTTTCCACAATGCAGTTCATAAAATGGCCAGGTAAATACATTACAAATACATTGTATGTGATTGAGGGGCTGATTTGGGATGCAAGTCTGGGTACCTTGGTGCCCTAAAAGTGAGTACCATTCTCTGGGGTTTCATACTCTCTGCTTATTCACTATTTTGGAGTCTCATCAGACACCATGTGGTGAGCCATCGCCAGGTGTATTACATGCTGCTTTGTATGGTTATAGTTTATAACTCAGCAGAGCAGAATGTCAACATGAGAAACCAACTGAGAGAATTTTTTTTTTTTTTTTTTTTTTTGACTTATTTTGGCTTCAAGTCTTGCTAACAAGGATAAAAATATTCCATTCACATTTTATGTTTTTACCAGCCGGATCATGCTCAGTAGCCATCTGAATAGTAAAATATAGTAGAAATAGGTTTAATTTTGTTTCCATTCTCTTGGGCATGAACAAGTCCTCACTCTAAAGCCTATTGGCAAAGTAGCTTTAAGCCATTATAATCAATCTTTTAGGCGCGTGTGTGTGTGTGTGTGTGTGTGTGTGTGTGTGTGTGTGTGTTAAATTATTTGGTGTTTTCAAGCATAAAAATAAATTCAGAGGGGGCTTCCCTGGTGGCGCGGTGGTTGAGAGTCCACCTGCCGATGCAGGGGACACGGGTTCGTGCCCCGGTCCGGGAAGATCCCACATGCCTTGGAGCGGCTGGGCCCGTGAGCCATGGCCGCTGAGCCTGCGCGTCCGGAGCCTGTGCTCCTCAGGGGGAGAGGCTACAACAGTGAGAGGCCCGCGCACTGCAAAAAAAAACAAACAAACAAAAAACGGAGCCTGTGCTCCGCAGCAGGAGAGGCCACAACAGTGAGAGGCCCGTGTACCGCAAAAAAAAAAAAAAAAAAAAAAAATTCAGAAAATGTTTCCACCAAGTTTTAGGTTAACATAAGAATGTTACAGGATATGTAAGTTTCACAGATGCCCAGTCAGAATGTTTAAACTCTTTTCAACATTTTGGAACAATGAGTAGTAGACAGAGTATTCTTTCTTAATTAGAGAAAAGTCTCTTACTACCTCTCTTTTTTTTTTTTCTTTTAATTGCAAGATGTTCAAAGTTCCTTTCAAAAGTGCAAAAACCTTAGGGGATTTCCTCACCAATACTAAGAGGAGTCTGAGTCTGTTTCTCAAGGAAGTAGGCCTTTTTGTCTAGCTCTGTGACATTTTCAGACAGGAGTTAATTGTCAAATTTATTTTTCTTATCCCCTCAGGCACCACCAAGTCTGAAGATCGTGCTGCTTTGCTGAAGAAATTCAACGAACCTGGGTCCCAGTATTTCATTTTCTTGCTGAGCACAAGAGCTGGAGGCCTGGGCTTAAACCTCCAGGCAGCTGATACCGTGGTCATCTTTGACAGCGACTGGAATCCTCATCAGGTGTGCATGTCTCTGACTTGGGTGCCCAGGCCTTCCTTCTGGAGAGGAACTGAAAGACGAGCAGTTCCCTCCCTCATATACATTTATGGGGCAGAGCACATTTCTAAACAAGTGGACCATTTCCTCAAAGGGAAGACAGCCCAGCACATTATTATGGCTGTTTTCTTATCTCCCTTGGAACATAGATATTGAGATATCTTATACACGCCTTTGGTGTACCTTTGAAGAGTTCAAGTTTGGGGGGCAAAGACTCAAGTTTCTGCCTAGTTTTAAGCCATCCCCCCACCCCCCTACCCCATCTCCTGGGATTGCCGCTGAGCAAAGCATATTTGGTTAAGGATAAATCAAAAATGTTCCAAGGGCTTCCATGGTGGCGCAGTGGGTGAGAGTCCACCTGCCGATGCGGGGGACACGGGTTCGCGCCCTGGTCCGGGAAGATCCCACGTGCCGCGGAGCAGCTGGGCCCGTGAGCCATGGCCGCTGGGCCTGCGCATCCGGAGCCTGTGCTCTGCAATGGGAGAGGCCACAGCAGTGAGAGGCCCGTGTCTCTCTTTCTCTCATACACATACACTTTTATGACCAGTCGGTGTAAGCAGAACTCTAGAATCAAAGTTAATTACATGCATACCCAACAGTTCACTTTTCACTGCATGTTACCTAAAATTTAGGCAATAAAACACCGAACCCACATTTCGTCTGGTCTCATTTACCATAACTTCCTCACACTGGGCCATATATTTCTGCAGGTATATACATATCTGCCACAGGTGGATTCACTTCCACCTGATATGGTCAACTAGACTGACCAGATTTTTTCATGCCTGTCACTTAAACATGGCCATTAGTTTGGGCAGATTTTTTTTTCATGTTTGGAAATAAGTGATCTTAGACTGATAAAGATGAACACTGATTTCTCCTTTAAAAGGTAGGAGAACTAACTTTTATTAAGCGACTACTCTACCGGATACCATGAGGCACTTTGCATACCTCATTTCAGGTAATCCTCAAAGTATTTTACACATAAAGAAACCCGTCAGTATTAACCTGCCCAGAAACACAGCCAGGATTCACAGCCACGTTTGTCTGGGTTTGGGTTTGAATCCTGGCTTTGGGCTCTTTCTACCCTGTACTCCTGCATAAATGTTGCCCCCAAGTAAAAGTTGTAGAGTTCTTTTTACCGTCTTGGCTTCAGCATGCATTGAAAATTTCTTTTTCTGTAATTATTCTTTATTATGTTGAATGAGAATTAACACACATGGATGAAATAGGGTTTATTTGACATAGGTTGACAGATTGAAGATACAGGCCTTAAAGTTGCTAACTGGAGGTCGCTGCTAAAGTCAAAGATAGAACATATGAATGTAGGATTAGCACTAAAACCCCTCGGGATTGTCAGGACTCTCATTCCCAAACTGTTATGAGAAACATGGGTTGGCACTTTATTTTATTCATTTTAACCCGTGAAGCTGGAGCTGCGTTGTTATCACAGAATGGTCAACCACACAGTTACTTTGGAGGTCCTTTTCTCAGGCTGTGTTCTTGTCTTCAGCTATAATCCCACCTATATCAGTATGATGGGCTTTCAGAACACTGAGACCTCAGAATTGGTGAATAATCCATTCAGCGATTACAACGCTTCTTTCCTCGTCGTAATACTTGCCCTCCCATTTTTGGCTTAGGGGCCCACAGGCTTACCTTGCGTAAATTTCTTCAGCCTAGAAATCGTCATTTTTGCTATTTTTCAAATAGATAGATCATCTTACATTAAGGTTTTTTTGTCTTGTTTTTTGGGTTTGCTTCTTTGTTTATTTTGGCTGTGCCGGGTCTTCGTTGCGGCCCGCGGGATCCTTTTGTGAGGCATGCGAGATCTTTCGTTGTGGCCCACGGGCTTCTCTCTAGTTGTGGCGCGCGGGTTTTCTCTCTCCAGTTGCGGCACGAGGGGTCCAGAGCACGTGGGCTCTGTAGTTTGCTGCACGCAGGCTCTGTCGTTGAGGCGCACGAGCTCAGTAGTTGTGGCATGCAGGCTTAGTTGCCCCGCGGCATGTGGGATCTTATTTCCCCAACCAGGGATCGAACCCACGTCCCCTGAATTGGAAGGCAGGTTCTTTACCACTGGACCACCAGGGAAGTCCCTAGATAGATCATCTTAAACATACCAAAAAAACACCGCTGCCACCACCACCAAAAAAACCCAAAAAACTAATTGCTGTAAGCACCCAAGGGTTCAAGAACTTGTTACCCTGTTGGTAGATGGTCCATGCCCTCTACTTCCTGACCTAGCATATTCTGCTGCCACCTGTACCTTAGCGTTTTGTGGGTTATCAGCATCTTCTAGGACAGGGGTCAGCAAACTGCAACCCAGGGCTGAGTCTGGCCCACAACCTGAGTTTGGACCACCTGGAAGCAAAGAATGGTTCTCACATTTAAAAGTATAAAAATGTAAATTGAAAAAAGAAAGAAAAATGATTATCAGCCTCTTGGTGAGAACAGTCGCTCAGTGTTTGCTCTTGGCCGAGATAGCCTGGACTGTTTACCCCTGGGCCCATTCTGGAAGCAGTGTGTGACCCCTTTTCTAGGAAATCATCAGGAGGTTGATGACACAGAACTTGCCAGCGTGGCTGCTGCTCAGCCATTCTGGGGAAGATGTGTGGAGAGAGATGACTGAGCTCAGGGCTCGAACAGAAAATGAAGTTTAGGGTTTCCATGCCGCCCCCGCCCACCCTTTAGATTTTTTTTTTTTTTGGCGGTACACGGGCCTCACACCGTCGTGGCCTCTCCCATTGCGGAGCACAGGCTCCGGACGCGCAGGCTCAGCGGCCATGGCTCACGGG